TTTTTTTTTTTTTTTTTTTAGCGGATATTACCTTCCTCCGTGGTTATGTAATATCGTCAGTTTTGCTTTTTGGTTACTTGTAAGAATACCGACGGATAATACGTACTTACATATAGATGACTATAGTTACAATTAAAGTGATGAAACCAATTGGTGAAAATAACAATGAAATAATATGACAACGAGAGATGACTAACATAAATAAGTATATAATTACATTTGTCTTATGGAAGTTAGAAAATTAAATCTAATCTCTATAAATTACCACAGAGAGAACACAAGAACCATAAAACAATTATAAGCAGTTCCATTACGCTAGTTACACACACATAAGCAAACTAACGAATTGATAGATTGAGACTGACGTGTTATCCGTACGATGCTGCGACGAAGATTGGCTTTAGACAACTATTAAAAAAAAAGAGGAAAAGTGACTACAGGCATAGAGAATGAGTATCACGAATCAACGCGCGTGACATGAAAAATGATTCTCTTCAAAAATGATTGTTAAATTATTTAGACTTTCTCTGATGCTATCCTACAATTGTTGGAAAAAATAAAAATCAAACCCACTGTATCCACACTAATTGGGCTTTAAATTTTGAAAAGTGAAATAAACGCGACGCTTGGACGAAGTCTGTTCTAAATTCGGTACCCTGGACTAGGGGAACAACTCTCCCTAAACTTTATTACCAAAATACCTACCACCCACATGCTTCGTAACCATTTTTTAGTAAGAGAAACACAATATATTTGTTTTATTTTCATTTCTATCTAACACAAGCAGCTTGTGCTTCGTAACCATTTTTTAGCGAGAGAAACATAATATATTTGTTTTATTTTCATTTCTATCTAACACAAGAAGCTTGCTCTTATATTACTTAAAATACTAAAAGCTAAATTCCGAGATGATCAAGAGGGAGTGATTCTTTCAATTTTATTCATGTTGAATGTAAATCCTTATAAATATGCACAAATTATTCGCAAAATATTTAAAATAATATTCGTCATGCTATAGTCCATAAAACAATTTTTTTTAATTCGTACATAATACATACAATATTGGTGGTTATTTTTTTTTTTTTATAAAAATAAGTCTGTTTGAGTGCAAAATGAAAAATAGCAGAAGGTACAAAAATTTACCCATTTCAGTTAATATTAATGATCTATATGATAAACACTAGAATTTCAGTCATTCTTCTTTGTCATCTTTTTTTTTCTTTTTCTCTCGTTACATATCGGACTTTAATATTTGACGAATTCTCACTTCTCATATATTTGTTCAAACATTGCGCATACTAAAGACCGCAAGTGTACCTTTTAATAAATTATGACGTGATCATGCCTGGACTCAAATTTGTGCAAAGAGTACGCGATAAAACTTATATGTACTTTCTTAAAATAAACTCTCTTCGTAACCATCTAAAAATCAGTGGTTCTCCTTTCGTAATTTAATATTAATTCACCGTTTATCAAATTTTATCAAACCAAGTACATTAATTATTTCATCCTTTTAAAAATTATGTGTAAGAGTAGCCAATTGTTCGTTCCTTGTGACTTAAAAATCCACAATACATCGTTGCAACGCTAACAAAAATTAATTACTGCAACTGAATAAAACGACATTTAACGTTAATGTCTGTTACAATTAAAACATGCACGAAATTAAAAGAAAACAAGTCGTTTACCAAGCAGTCAAGGCAACTGCCAGACAGCACAATGTTACCAGTGTTACAAGAGATTGCAACTCAATAAAGAGGACAATGTAAAGAAACATATTACGATTAATATTGTCAACCGTATGTAACAATACGATTAACTGAAAATGTGCCAACTACCAAATGAAACCTACCATCGTTCAGCGTTCTGCTCGAGCTGTTCACTATATTCATGAACTCGTTAAGCCCGTCCTCTTTATTAATGTTTTCGAGCGTCGGCGGCTGAATCGATTCCACGGGATTTCCTTCCGCGGAAACGAAGATCTTGTCGTCTTCCAAAGCATTGTTCGGTTGCGTGGCCGGTGGACTAGGAGTTAATAGTGGACAATCCGACGCCTCTTCATCCTATGTAAAACGACACGCGTCCGATCTGCATTATATCATTTTCCTATCCAATGTATTCCGTTTTAGTCTCTTTTACTTTTTTCTTTTTTTTTTGGTTTCTTTGCTATTCAGACACGCCCTTTCAAAGGAACAAAACAGCAAAACAGATTTGCAAGGTAAAAGATAAAAACATAGGAGACCAGACGAGCGATAAAAGTATAAAAGAATTTCAGATAATTTTCGTTTCTAAATGGGAAAGAGTAATTTTGTGATATTTAAATGAGTTGTGTTGATGATTTTATAGTTTTTTATTGATATTATTTTTATTACTATTTTACTATAGAATATTGATCGTGTTTATTAATAAGTCACTCACTTCTTAAATTATTATTTTCTTTTTTTAATATTGGTTCCCAAGATTAATTTTAATTTCAATTATTTTTAGAAGCTTGCTATTATCTTTGGATAATTTGTAAGTATATATCTTGCAGTATAACATAAGGTGATTTCTAGGATCACCTCGATGAATAAACGATGAGTTCATAGTAAAGATTAGTCGCGAAAGAAAGTATCTAATAAATGTCGTATGTTTTTAAAATTCTTAAATTAGTCCAATTTAATGCAATCAATATTCTGCGTTAGAACTCAATATGTATCTACTGTTCGTTTATTACTCCTATCGCTTATCTGAAATCAAATGTCAGTGTCCAAGCGCATTATCGTGTATGAAAAAAAAAAGAAAAGATTGAAATAAATCGGTATCACAGTATAAACATTATATACATTTTTAAAGCAAAGCTGCGTGAACTTATCTTATCGAGATTAACTTAAGTGATCGAACCAAGTTCGAGTACAAATTATTTGTATTATAATTAACACAATGTCAAGTTACGTCTCGGGCGTTGATGTTGAAGAAGTTAAGAAAAAGTAGTCTTGGAAAATCATTTCAAGTTAGAGCGCTATCGGCACATGCTATTAAACGTACGTAGATTGTACATAACGTGGCGTTCGTGGGAGAGAACACAAAAAGAATTGAAAGAACGAAAGAGCAAAGCTACTTGTTATTTCTGTCGGAACACACCTGTTGGTCTTGATTTATAATGAGTTGCCGCGAACTCGGCGAGGACGCAAGTTCGATCGGTAATACCCCCAAAAGACCCTCAGGCTTCTGGATATTCATCTCTGTCAACGTAGAAAAATCGAATTTGTTTTATCCTCTGCAGGTAATCTTCCACACCAAGGGCAAGCAAGTTCACATGGAAACGTCCAGCAAAATGACACTTCGGTTTCGCTCATCAGAAACCTTTCGTCCCGTTTCAATTCAATTTTCGACGATCATGTCTCGTCCTTCTCACGCAATTTTCAATTAACGCGTACAATGTCCACACCTACATTATTACTCTCAGTCAGTTCGTTTTCTTCTTTAAAAAGGAATATCCTCAAGTCTGAATCTAGTTATACAATCACGTCGGAAATAAAAGGAATGCCGAGTGGCATTTTTCTTCGCTTGGATTTTCGCACGACGGCAGAATGAACAAGCGTACTTTAACTGCAGTTGCACATACCGCGACGAAACGCGATCTTTATGAGGCGCAATATGCACGCCCGAACGAAACGCGATCCACGGTCGTCATATTTACGAACTGTACGCCGACTGGTAAAGTGCGACGACTATTGATCGAGAAATTCTATGAACGACGCGTTTGGCCGAGCTCCGATTTTCTCCCCTAATCCATTAAACGGGATCGTTGAAAAGGGCTGTCCAAATGATCCTCGGGATTCGTCATTGTTCCGCTATCGCGCTCCTCCAGCTATTGTGGTTTGTTATTACGTCATATCCCAAAGCGTATATCAGATCGTGTATCGTGCAAGAGAAAAAGAAAAAAAATTATACGACCGTGGTTTTCTATTAGACTTCGAAACGTATACGGCAAGATTTGCAGGATCGCAGATTGAACGTGTGATGTGAAGAAGTGTGAGAAGAAAAAAAGAAAAGTATATCGAAATTGCAATGTATCAGAGCAATTGTTATAATTAGACTGTGGATGGTTATGCATTTATGAGAAATTTTGAACGTGTAAAAATACGCACAACGCGTGTAGCGCGTGAAACACGTGAATTATCACTCAGGATATAACACTAACGTTAATGTTTGTTCTTGCAAGGTTTTTAAGAAATTCAAGATGAGCTTGACTTCGTTATGCAGAAAAAGGATGCCCATTGAAAGATTCTGATTGCGTTTACTAGATTTGAAGATAAAAATGTAAAAGTACACGTAATGCATAGAATGTACGATAGTGAAAGCGTGTAAGCTATTCAATGTGAAAAATTTTTATAAAGTGAATTTGCATAAACATCGCACAACCTAGTTATTACAGGCATAGACACGTATAAATACAATGTTGGTTAATTAATTTCTTGAGTTAATGAAACAAGTGTAATTAAACGAGTAAAAATGAATTTAGTGGAAATGTATTTAGAAATTTTTCGGCGATTTGAGGGAAAATATATTGGATTCTTTAAACTTCGCTTCGCGTGCGTGCGAACATTACTAGTGGATAAAGTGCATAATGAAAAATCTATCCTAATTTGAACTAGTGTGCATTTTGATGATGCAATCAAATGTGGTCGCGTGACGAATTTCAACAAGGCTGTTGATTCAAACATTTATGCTTTCGTTGTTCGTTAAGCGTGTTTCTAAGAATAAAAGGAGTCACGCTGATTCTTTGTCAATTTAGTTTGTAACGGACTAATTGCAAAATAAACATTTGTACACGTGCAAGACATTCGCGTTTGCCTTTTCATGAATATGCAATTATAAATAAATAAACGGCAGAGAATTTTTTACAACTGCTATGGTACAAAAAGTGCAAAATCGTGAAAAATCGTGTTAATAATTCGAATGGAATGTTACTGTATTTTTCAATGTTTTCACTAAACTGTGGATGCTTGTGCAAGCTCATAACTCTATGAATATAACTATAAAGAAATAGAATTTTGAAATGGAATCAGTTAAAACTGACAACGAATATTTTACCTTGTACATTTATATATTGTGTTTTATATGTTTCTATATATATTTTTCCAATGTAATTCGAGCATTCTTTCTCTCCAAATATACACAATTAAATTCTCCATAAACGCATCAACATCCACATTCCAGCGATTATATAAAGCTATCGTTTCCTGTAGGAAAGAAGGTAACTACTTGCGCAATATCTCGCACCTTTCGTCATCAATTTCAGCATTCAACAATATTTATTACTTCATTATCAATAGAAAATGTGATTCTACATTATCTACTCTCTCTCTCTCTCTCAGTAGCCGACAAAAATTAGAAATTATCCAAGAAATTCGGATTTATTAACTAAATTCGGACCAATTTACCTGTAATACGGCCGGTTACCACGTGACAAAGACGACATCGGCAGAAGACCTAAAACACATATAGAACCGTTCCTCGAGAAACCTTCACCCCCGGAAAAAGCACAAAACTAACCAAGAGATTCGCTTGGAGACCGGTTGCTGACTCAATATGTTTGATACGTCACGACTATCGTTCACTACGTGTGCGATTCTCCGTTACGGAAGGACCTACCAAACGCAGCAAACGACAACAAAATATCACTACCGAGGACGATGTATGTGCTTTCGGATGTCGACGACCATCCTGTAGTCCCCAGCCGTAAAGAGAATCGCGTGCCTCCGCGTAGTATATTTAGCAACACCGTTTCGTTCCGTTTAGTCCCGTGGTGTCTCGCTTTTCTGACCGAGACGTTCGCGCCCTCCTCGAGTCTGCGCTCTTGCCGATGTACGTGCAATTCATCGTATCAACTGCGACGATTAGAGGCTCAATAACCTCGATGTTACATCAGTTCCTATCGATTTTAACAATAATATCCACGGGCCAGTAGGATTTTTCGAAAAAAAAAAAAAAAAATTAGCTTAGAATTCATTCGAAATGCAACAATTTTATTAGACAAAGAGTTAGAAGAGGCATCTAAAGAAAACAAAAATTGCAGAAGAAATTAAAGAGTTATATAAGAATAAAAAAGAATTACTCAGTTATCAACTCGGAGAACTCAAGAATTAAATTAATTAATCGATCGATGTAGTGTGATGTACTTCGATGTAATTGCAATTTGTGTCAAAATAAATTGTTTAAATCAGAAAATTTTTGTAAACTGTAAAATTGAAATTCCGAGTAAGGTTTGATAATTTAGTAATGTTCAAAACTACTTTTTCTGGCCCCTTAAGAAATGTTAACATAAATACATGCAAGTTGTCAATTTTATTTCTTATCTACAGTAGTTACGTGAAGATATGGGTGCAATCAAGTGTATCTAGTTTGCGAGAACAAGCTAAAGAGGACGACACTCTGACATTTCAATGTCATTTCCAACTTTATCGACTCAATGTAGAATAAGATCACA